CAGCTGAACAGATACGCGAGTTTTTGAACACGTGTGAGTATGCAGCGGGAGTTGTTAGCCCGTTGGATGAACCTGCTTTGTTACAAGCAGTGTTGTGTACAAAGTTGCGAGGTCAGGCTTTGTTAGATTTCGAGACAAAGAATAGTTGCAACTTCCGACAGTATAAAGAGGAAGTTGAAAACACTTATGCTGCAAAGAAAAGTGTTACTCAGTTACAGATGGATTTTAACACGTTGAGGCAAAAGAATGGCGAAAGTGCACAAACGTACGGCCAACGTGTGAATCAGATCACCATGGAATTGTATGGGGCCATGGTGGAAGGTAGGGGACACGCAGTTGAAGAAAAACGCATCATAATGAGCACAATCAAAGAGCAGGCGTTACAACAATTCGAGATAGAATTAAAAAGCGAAATCAGAGTAATAATTCGCTCACGAAATTATGGAACTCTACAGGAGGCCATAAATGCGGCCAGCTCGGAAGAAAAGGTGACAACACCTCATAGCGGTCAAATAAAAAATCAGAATCCGCAAAATAAAGGAAAGTATAATAAAGACACATGTTTCAAATGCGGAAAGCACGGACATTTCGGTCGAGATTGCCGAGTCAGCAAAATGTCATTACCAAAGGCAGGCGGCAGAGTAAATGCCGTTGAGAAATATTGCAATTATTGCAAGAAAACAGGACATTCCCAGGAAAATTGCTGGGCCCTGAATGATAAGAAGAAGTATCAAGGGAAGAAAGCGAAAGATGCATCGCATAAAGAACAAAGCAATCAAAGTGACAGCAACGACTCGTCCGAAAATGACGAGAGTAAGAAAAAAAAAGCTATAACGATAGCAGAGCTTCAAATTACCGAAATAAATACGATGCAAGCAAGTTTGGACATCGTGAGAATGCCAATTAAAGAGGCAAAGCGTGGAATAGCAGAGTTACTATATGACACAGGAGCCTCAGTATCATTCATTAAAAAGAAATGCTTGAAAAGAGAAACTCCCGCGGAACTAAGCATAGAGTTAACGGGAGTTACAGGTCATAAAGCCTGCGTGATAGGGAAATTTTTGGCAATTATCCAGCTGAAGAATAAGAAAATCAAGCATCCTATGTACGTTGTGAAGGATGATTTTCTTATAAACTACGAAGGGATGTTAGGAAGCGATTTCTTAAAGAAATATTACGTCACTCACGACTATAAGAAGAGGGAAATTCTCGTAGGACAGGAGGCACTGATCTTGTACCCTCATAGAAACGTAGAGATACTATCGAGATGTGAGACCATTATAACAGCGATTACAGATACCAACCAAGTAGGATTGATAGAAGCGGAAGAGAGACAGCCAGGAGTATTTATCGGTAGCTGTCTCGTACAATCCAAAAATAATTTATGTCCGGTGAGTGTAATTACTACGGGACGAACCGTTAAAATGCAGATTCCGCAAGTAAAAATCGAACCATTAACCGATATTGTTGGAAAATTAGAAATAAACAAGATAAATAATGAATTTAGTGGCTTTACGCGGCAAGGAAATATAAAGGAAATGTTGCGGGTACAACATTTGAATAAAGAAGAAAGAAAGAAACTTTACGAGTTAAGCGAAGAATATAGCGACATTTTTTACTTAACCGGTAAACCGCTGAGTAAGACAAACGCGGTGGAGCATCAGGTTCCAATCAAGGTTGACACTGCACCGATTAATGTAAGGCCGTATCGACTACCGGAAAAACATAAGCAAGAGGTCGATAGGCAGATAAAAGAAATTTTGGATAGCAAAATAATCCAACATAGCAAGAGTCAATGGAATGCGCCACTTCTGGTAGTACCTAAGAAGATGGACGCGTCTGGTATTAGAAAACTGAGAATAGTAGTGGACTTTCAACGTCTACACGACGTGACCATCGGAGATTCGTTCCCACTACCTAACATAACTGAAATTTTGGATCACCTGGAGAACGCTAAGTACTTCTCTACGTTAGACTTGGCGTCGGGATATTATCAGATACTCATGAAAGAGACGGATAAATGCAAGACAGCATTTTCAACGCCGTACGGGCATTACGAGTATAATTGAATGCCCTTCGGATTAAAGAACGCATCAGCAACGTTTCAGAGGTTGATGAATTCGGTTTTAACTGGACTTTAGGGCATAAAGTGCTTCGTATATCTAGACGATATAGTGATACATGGAGCCAGTCTAGAGAAACACAGTAAACGACTAAAGGATGTGTTCGAACGACTTCGAGGAAATAATTTGAAGTTACAGCCAAACAAGTGTGAATGTTTCCGGAAGGAAGTCACGTATCTGGGTCACATAATCACAGAAAACAGAATAAAACCAGACTCATCGAGAATAAGTGCAGTGAGAGATTTTCCTGTGCCGACAAAGATAAAAAATATACAGGCTTTTATAGGATTAGCGGGCTATTATCGGAAATTCATTGACCGATTCTCAAGAGTTGCAAAACTTCTGACTCAGCTAACACGAAAAGGAGTCAAGTTCAAGTGGAGCAACAAGAACAGCAACAAGCATTTGAAATATTAAAAAAAAAAATTGAGCAGCGCACCTTTGCTTGCATATCCGGATTTCACAAGGGAGTTTATTGTTACAACCGACGCGTCAGGTTACGCAATCGGAGCTGTCTTGTCACAAGGCCCGATAGGACAAGATAAGCTTATCGCATATGCAAGTCGAGTATTAAATACTGCCGAACGGAATTATAGCACCACGGAAAAAGAATTGTTGGCAATAGTGTGGGCCGTAAAACATTTCTGACTATATTTATATGGCGTTAAATTTAAAGTCGTAACGGATCACAGGGCACTTGTGTGGTTATTTAGTGTCAAGGACCCCGGATCACGGTTAATCCGTTGGCGGTTGAAATTCGAGGAATACGAGTATGAAATAATTTATAAAAAAGGGAAAGCCAACACCAACGCAGATGCGTTAAGCCGAAACATCGAGCAACCTGAAGTATGTACATACAAAGCGGAGGAAACCGATGAGGGCAAAGAAGCAAGTGAGACACAAGAACTCACGGAAGAAGAAAAGAAGCAGATACTGTATGAGTATCACAATGCGCCGTTAGGAGCGCACCAAAGGATAGCGCGAACCGTGAAAAGAATTTGCCAGATTTATAATTGGCCGCACCTTACAAAGGATGTGGAGGAATATATCGCGAAGTGTGCGTCTTGTCAACAAAATAAAATGGCGAAAAGGGTTAAAACGCCAATGATCATCACCGATACGCCAGCAGAGCCATTTGAGAAATGCGCTCTTGATATTGTCGGACTATTAACAGCAACAAATAACAGAAATAAGTACTTGTTGACCTTCCAGGATAATTTAACAAAATTCAGTAAGGCAATACCTATCTCAAATCAAGAAGCAGCGACCGTAGCCAAAGAGTTTGTTACAAAAATAGTGTGCAAGTATGGCATTCAAAAAACGGTACTAACAGATCGAGGCACGAATTTTGTCAGCGAAATGTTTAAAAACGTGTGCAGATTGTTACAAATTAATAAAATTTAAACAACGGCATATCACCCCGAAAGTAATGGAGCTTTGGAACGTACTCATGAGACGTTAGCTAAGTATATAAGGTACTACGTAAATGAAGATCAAACAGATTGGGACAAATGGATTTCGTACGCTATGTTTGCGTACAATACTACGCCACATTCAGCCACAGGATTTACACCGTTTGAATTAATGTATGGTAGACAGGCGGAATTGCCAACCGCNTTAAGAAAACCTCCGGCGACACAGTATAATCTAGAAGATTATGCACAGGAATTAAAGAAGCGATTACGCGCCGCAAATCGCGTAGCGAGGGAAAATCTGCGCGAGAAAAAAAAAGCGAAGCGTTATTATAATAAAAAGACAAAAACAGCATCTTTCAAAGTTAGCAATAAGGTTCTGTTATATGATGAAACACTGAAAAGGGGAAGGTCGAAGAAGCTGGAATCACTATGGATTAGTCCGTACGAAATAGTTGCAAAAGTTTCAGACGTCACATATACAATAAAAGCAAGAAGACGCACACAAAGTGTGCATTAATAGGCTAAAAGCCTTTATAGAAAATTAAGTAAAAGAATAAGTACTTACCGATCCACTTCACTCCGAGTCGGAGATGACTACGACGGAAGGATCAGGCGACAAGGGGGGGATCCAGGCACACCACATCGGGATCCCAGTCAAAAAAGGGTCGGAATACACCTGGCGGCGGGGTGCGCGGTGACTCCGGGTCTGGAGAGGCCGGGGAGTAATTGTCAGGCGCCAAAGTCACCGGTTTGTCCTCAGAATCGGTAACGGTCACAATAACGATCGGTGACAAGACGAGCGGCTCCGGTGAGGCAGGATCATGGTTATCAGTAGTTTCCACGGTGTCTAGAAGTACGATGACAGTAGTTGCACTTGTGATGCTGATCCGCGAGTCAGTATCACTGTCACCGTCACTAACACTATCACGTGAAATAGCCCAGTCTTCACCCCCACACTGAAGACCAAGCCAACCTGTTACGCATAGAGACCCGGAGGGCCGACCCGCGCATCCGCATCAACTGCATGGAGATGCCATGTTGTAAAGTAAACGAATATTTAGTAACACAGGAAAAAAAAATTTTTTTTCCGTCGTTCGCCAAAGATAACGAAGAACTAACTCGGTGGTGAAGTGTGAAGTATCGAAATTTCCGTCCCAAAGAAAGGGGGGAATAGAGAAATTCGCGGTTTTGCATAAATTTGACACCAGGAATTAAAATTAAACTCGGATGAAATAGTAGTCGAGTCAGTTTACTCCGCGACAAAAAGTAACATATGTATTGGCAAACACAGCATAGGAACACTACCGTTGCAGAAAGTAATGTAAAAATATTATCTTACAGAGTAAAAATTTTACTGTTAAAAATTGCCGTATGTATTGCGTGGGATGGGACCAAAAAACAGGAGTTCAAGATTCAAAGGTTCCAACATAATCCTGGAATATATTTCGAGAAACAAGGAGAAATGTACCGTTCTTCCAAGGAATGGAAACTTGCGATAAGACTAGACGTAACTTCTATGTATAGTAGTCTAGAACAGCTGCAAAAAATGTTGGACAAAACCGGAGACTTGTGCGACAACGAAAAAATATTTAGTAAAAATAAGGAGTTCTGTGACAGTTTTTCTGGCGAGTTACGGCACAGGGAATTTAATAAGGTCAGTACGTTAGTAAGAAAAATAAAAATGATAGTAGGAACACCGACGCGCAGTCGGAGGGGTTTAGTGAACGCAGTCGGTTCCGTGGCCAAAGTGTTATTTGGCACCATGGATGCAGAAGACGAGAAAGTAATCTCGGAGCAGTTGCAATTAATAGGAAGTAAACAGGCCGTATTGCAGTATACTGTAAAAACTCAGTTGAGTGATTAATGCCACGATTGTTTACGTAGACGATGTGGAAAATATTATAGAGAGAAATGAGAATAGGCTGCGAGAAGCAGTGGTAAGAATAACTCAAAAAGTTGATGACTACGCACAACAGCAAGAACTGAGAGACTATTTCCTCGAGCTGGGCAGTTTGCTGACAGAGATGGAACTCGATGCCGAGGGAATAATAATTGAATACGTTACCAACGTGCACACTAATTTTGCAAAATTGGAAATAGTGCCACTTGAGCAAATTTTACATAGCCTGAAAGAAGCAAATAACCAATTCATGCAGGATCTGCGTTTTCCTTTTGCCGTGACTCTGGAAAACTGGTTAGAGATAAAAAGGTTTGTCACGGTTAGTGTCTATTGCAAGGACTCGAATATATTTACGGTTGTAAAATTTCCATTGATCAATTCCGGTAGTTACAATGTGTACAGGGTAGTACCCTTACCAGTACATGAACGGGACAACGTGTTCGCGGTTGTGCAAGTCAACCACTCGGTAGTAGCAATAGACACAAATTGTCAAACGTACGCTATACTTAGCGAAACACAGTGGAATAGTTGTGTAAGCGTACAAGATCGTTATGTGTGTAAAAATGTGGATTCAATGTATCGATTCTCGCAGGGAGCGCCCTGCGAGTTACAAATGTTTATAAACGAGGATGGTAGCTACGAAAACTGTGAAATCGACCACATGGTTTCCAACCAAACCGTGTGGGTACGATTAACAAAGGCGCGCGTATGGTTGTTCTCGACCTTGAGGGAAGAAACTCTACGAATTACGTGCGAAAACGAGTCAGAGAGGATGGAGGTCATAACCGGAGTCGGGGAAATAGAGCTGCCAGAGCAGTGCGAGTTGACCACAGCAAGTATTATAGTGCGGACTAACCAAGTAGTGAAGGGCGTGGGAATAAGTACGTTCTTACCGCGTTTTAATATCACGGCACCAAGAAAAAGGGAACAGATGAAAAGTAACGACATGAAATTAGAAAGTGTAACGCGGAACAAAGTGCAGTTACGATCGTTGGAAAAACAAGTAACACGACTAACAAAAGAAAATGGTGTTAATTACGCATTTTATAAGCAGCCGCACTTTATTCTCCCGACTTTGGTAAGCGTAACCTTAGTTATTGTAACAATCGTGAGTTTATGTTTTTGGTTACAAAGGAAAAAACTCCAAGCGAGACAAGAGATGTTCAGTCTTTGAGATTTAAAGCCAAGTGCTCGACAGATTGGGCACACGGTACCCGAATTTTAGTGTAATAAGCGGAAAATGGCGATACATTTTCCTTCTTTCAAGAAGGGGGGAAAATGTTGTGAAATTTAGTGAAATTTAGTTTAATTTTGTACGGGCCATTGAGCAATTGCGGAAGGTACGCGTCATTGCTCAATCGACTTGAATTTATTCAAAAAGGTAACAAGCAGCATTTCCTTGTAAATGAAATCTGCTTGTTAAGCGTAATACTAAGTAGAATACAGACGCGGCACGCAACGTCAGCGGCCTACGTGCAGTAGCAAGTAGGTCGCTAAATTGCTGAATGGTTGCGATTGATCCCTTTAAAAAATCGATCGCAAGCAACGACAGCCAGATTGTGAGTAACTGTTGACAATACTGTGTGGCTCCGAGTTCATCCGGAGAGTTTACCGCAGTAAAGCAACAGCTAAGTGTCAGTATAAAGCGTGCGTTATTGTACAGTAATTGTTAACTTGGTAGTAATAAACAACGCCAGTTTTTATAAAAGAATCTTATTCATCACCAAGTCCTTCATCTTTCCCGATCTCAACAGGCCGTCTAGGCTGGATGGTCTTCAAGGTTGGCGGTTGACTCGCACTTTGCACCCGCACACACTTGTCACAACCGTGGTGGAACTTGGTAGCGATTTTTTTTATTTTTCCCGGCGCACTCCAGATTCTTTCTGCCTCTGTTCGCAGGAGTGTCGCTTTATATGCGCTTTTTGGTAGCCACGGGGCTTCCAATCAGAGCGCTTGATCGGTTCGCCCGCTTCCACCAAAAACGGTGGTGATTTTTAATTTGTTAAAAGACTATTAAAGTAGACACCATCTGTGCGACAGCGTCTCCTGCGCTTTGCAGCTGATGTTTAAACTATTGAGATAATTTTTGTCTGAATTTTGGCAGAATTGTTTATTAGTGGGTTTTGAGTGGTCCCAGCTGCTGAAAACTTCCCTTCCGGAGATAAGGAGATTTATTAATTTTGCTTAATCGTTCTTGGCACATGTGAATTGTTATTGCATGTGTCCGGCATTTGTTCGGCCGCGGAGCTTGAATTTTTGTTCCCGGATTTATTGTTTTATTTCGTTAGGGAGCGCGGTTTCGTTCTATGTTCACTCAATTTTTACTGTCGCGTGGTTTCTCAGATCGATCTCCTGTTCTCTATCCGGGAATTTTCTGTTTAGTCTGCGTTTTATCTCTGCGTTTTTGTTTAAGATAAAATTTGTTTCTACCGAGTGTTCACCATACTGCGTTGCATAAAGAAGGGAACCGTGGAGTCGCAGAACGTAACACAGACATATAGATATATTTATTGTTCTCTTTGGAATTAGAAAAATTTACAAATATTATTGTAAAAAGATTTTACTAAAAACAATTTTATTTTTTTCCCTATTATAACCTAAAACTACCTAAAACTACCTTATTTTAATTTACATACTAACAACATTTACATACTTGCAACGTATTATGTACTAACTTATGTAATAACTTATTTCCTAATTCTAACTAAATAATGCATATACACTTACGCCACTTATTTTTTAAATATGCAGCTTTTACTATCTTATTCATCTTCTCAATCTCTTTCTCTCATTCATTCTTTTTTTTCCTTTTCACTTTCCATTATTTTTACACTCGTACTCTCACTCTCTCTTTTTTTCTGACTCTTTTATTATTACTATCATTTCTTACTATCATTATTTGCTTCCTCTTTATATTTCCCTGAAAAATTTGTCTTATCTTTCCTCCAGAGATGCCAGATCGTGCTGGACAGCATCGAGAGCATCGAAGCGGTGGGAGCTGGTGGGGGCTCACCGCCTTGATGCTCTTGTACGCACACAAGCGAGAGCCGCGTCCGTGTGCGTGACGTCACGCTTGACTGTCGGCTCGTGGAAGAGTGCAGACATAGTATGTTCCGTCTCCTTTCCACCAAGCCACAAAGCAACGTTATGTACGAAACGCGCCGTATGACAACGCTTTTCGATATAGGCTGCGTTCCGATATTCTCACTGCCAGTACTGGAAATCTATAGCACACGTGACGTGAAGTATAGATTTTTAATACTGCCAGTGAATATCGAAAAGCACCCTTATAATCTTGTACACACAAAGACATGATTTATACAAATAAAATATACATATTACATATTTGTATTAATTATTAACATATTATTATTTAACAATGGTAAAAAGGTTTTAGAATATTACTAGAAAATGTATAAAACAATATTTATATAAANATCAGTATTTATCTATTTATATATATGTATATTTTTTTCTATATTTAATTTTTTTTCAGTTTTTCATCAAAAATATGGAATCTTATCTCATGTAATTTTTGATAGCTCTCGACACAATTGTACTATGTATGTAAACTTTGTGAAATAAACACTTTCTTACCGAGTTCTTTCATGTTACAATGTTATATATTTTTGTAATAATTTTATATTACCAAAGTATAAATTTCCTTCAATAGTATTATAACTAATTATCATAGTAATAAATTTATATATATAAATTATAGTATATTATTAAATTATAATTAAATTATAAGTATATANTTTTATAANAATTATTNTAAGTGGTCTTCTTCGCAACACATGAGGTGCCACTAACAGCGCGTTAGGTTAGGTTAAGTTTTTATGTGGACCTTTGCTTGTAGCCCTATTCTATCACATTTTATTATATATCTGTTTTTATATAAACATGTGATTATATTCCATGTATCATATATATTCTATATTGTAAATATTTTTAGGTTTACATATTCTATATGTTTTTATACAATATTATAAATAGTAGTATATTATACCAAGGACTCTTCTGATAGATAGGACGCGGCATCTCGTTACGAGCGAGAAAGCAACGCGAAAGCCAATCAATGCTGCTTTTCCGGTAGAGCAAAACATTGATTGGCTATCGCGTCGTTTCTAGCCACGTGACATATTGTGTCCTGTCTGTAGAAGATCTGGCTCTGTACTACTAAACTTATTAAGCGTTTAAATTTAATAAAATGCAATTGCATAATTTTTTTATAAAAGTTGCAACTTTTATCGTCAATTTAAGCAGTATTTTTTCAATTTGGTCATATTTTTCGAATGTGACAAGTTTTTAAATAAAACACTACATTTCACTCTAGTTACTTTGATTATATTTTAAACATTATTTTAAAAAAAAATTAATTTTGTCCAAAATGTTTTGATTAATTTGTAAAGTGGGTATACAGGTACTAATAATAAAACTAAATTTTTTTTTTAATTTACCTATATCTTTAACGACCCTAGGTTGCAGATAAAAGATGCCAAAATCGTCTTTTCAGTTTGAAGGTTAAAAATATATACTTTTTCCAGTATAATAATATTTTGTTTTTTATTGTTATATACATTATATAAGTAGTGTTCTTTATTTTTATATAAATCATATAAATATTATATATATTATATATATTAAATATATTATATAATATATACACGGTGGGCCATTTTAATCTCAACAGCCATATCTCGATTTTTATGCATGCTCTGGAAAAATGGTTCAGACAAAAGTTGCTCGGAATAATAGGGGCCAACTATCTGTGCAATCAGATTTGACCTTGACAATAAATGTCAAGGTCATTTCAAGGTCAAAACGTTTTGTTTTATGGGAACCCATATTTTTAAAACCGGATTCGGAAAGACCGGAAAATTTTACGTCCAGATACGTATCTAAGTTCAACATTAACGTGACCTTTATAGGTCAAATAAATCCCTAAAAACCAACCCTGCTAAACCACAAGTAAGGTAACCCAATAGTTAGGTTAATCTAAAGACGAGCAGGCAACCCTACAACCACGTGATCGCTGTAATTTTACCCTTGCGGAACCTTACTTTTAGCACTACCCAGAAACAACGACGTGAACGTAGTAAAGACTGTTTCCTTTGGGGTGCTTGGGACTCACGTTAAGCAAGCACCCCATCGTGAGAGGCAAAGGACCTCACGTTAAACAAGCTAGCTCACCAATCGAAATAATGTCTGAAATACCACATGAAATCNAAGAAAATAAAATTATTGAGATGGCACAAGAAAGAAGTTTGCAACCAGTAAATTAAAAATTAATTCTATCTAATTACAAAACATTTCTAATCTATTGTAATATCAAGTTACCTTAAGTTTTAATCAAGATAAATTAAATAGATATGTATAAAATATTTAATAAAACACTAATAAACATTATNAAATTTAGTAACATTTGCAGTAAAAATACTGCACAATCAGTTTACAGAATTAAATACTAATAAATAGTTTTTCTACAGGTGGTTGATGGAAGTAACAATTCTAGTATTCATTTACTTGTTTATGAGGTTGATAAAGAAAATTCTGTACAATCACAAGATGTCTTATATGATTCAGTNAAGTTATTACAAGATACACCATGTGACCCTCTGCAATTATTGCAAAATACTTCAGATAATTCTCTACAATTATTACAAGATAATTCATGTAACTCTCTGCAGTTATTGCAAAATTCGAGTGATTCTATACAGTTCTCGCAAGATAATCGTGATAGTACAAGGAATGCAGAAATTTATGGCAAAGAAACTTTTTCCAAAAACTTACAATCAACTGAAAATAGTCAATTAAAAAATTTTATATTTTGGCCAAAAGAAAATATTAATCCAAAACAAAAGANAATACCAAACAAAAA